ATTGGAATGGGTAAGGGTCAAGGAACGACCCTGCAGGTCGTACATCATGTGCAATGATCAGACAACACACTGCACAACGAGCACGCCCGCAGGGTTTGGGGCGACATCTCGAGCACTGCCACCCACGCCGAGTAACAGTCTAGTCATGAGCCGTAGCCAGGACCAGCCAGTCACCCGGGGTTAGTGAGCAGGAGTACAGCAGGAATACATCTGGGCATGACGCCAACAGCGACCACGAATGAAGCCGACTTCCTACACGTACAGACACGTCAAGTAACAGGCGAGCCGAATATCGAACCGATCCATGCCCGGCTCCTTATATACCGATCACAAGTGGGCGGGACCCTGTATTACCGTTCCCGCGTGCTAGCGGCGATCCTCAAGCCATGGTCGATTAGTTGATGAAAATACCCAAAGGTGATTAGCAGGGTAACTTCCCAGATATCACTTGAGATAGGCGGTGATACCTGAAGGTAAATGGCACCTGAAAGGTAGCCGTCACTTCCCAATCAACACCACTGCCCGGGAATTGATTACAAACTGACCATTCCCCAGTGATCTACCCGCATTGGTCGGGAGCAATCGATCGATCTCGGCTGTCAAATTTGAATTCAAATTAATTTGAATTAGCAATGGTTACTTATTGAATAAGCATGACGTTTGATGTAAATATTCTAAAAATAACTTAAAAGGAAGGTAGGAAATCGAAACTGTTTCCTTGTGGTCGACCTTGATTAAAATAAGTTCACTAACGAAATTAACTTGTACAATTATAACGTTTCAGGTGAGCACGACGAGAAGAGCCAGACCGTACGATTGTTCAGTCACTAGAAATTAACGTAATTGATCACTATTGATTGAACTATTGATTACTATTACGTACACCAAGCTAGAACTATGCACATTTAGCAAAGCTCGTGCATTTCGTTTTTACAACTAAAACAAAATAAGAAAACGAAAACTGTTAACGTAGAACCTTCTGAGCGAATGAGATGGATTTTAACGTCCCGTGCACGTCTGATACAGTAACCCCCCTTCCAAATTTAAATCCGGTTCAAAACATGCGGAAAAACCCAAAGTTCAAAGCAATTTGAAGCCTAGACAAAATTTAAATGGTTATGCAATCGCTAACAGCTTTTTCCAAAAGGTACGCGTACGTAAAGAATGCAGAAGAGCAAATCCAATTAAACCACGGTAATCAGCCTCAGTAATTACGAAAACGGTAGTCAAGATATACAAATTGTGAGCGACTGTGCATAGAAGACACATCACGACTGATTCTGTGATGTATTTAGGAAAAACAAACCAGCGAGGATAAGGACAAGGACAGCGAATGGACTTCAACGACATGTATTCAGCGCAATCTAGAAGATTCGAAAGCATTATGTAGATATGGTAAGGTCCCGGCACGACCATGTGCTCTTAAAGGACAGTGGTAAGTTTTACCGTTTACAGTTGGGTCGCGACTTGAATAGTTTTGTGAAGGAGTCGTCGTGTTAAAATCTTATTTCTTTCCGAAGGAGGAGAATGAGCGAAGATGCCCTCAAACGATATCTACGGGTAATGTCTGAATACTTCACAATAGCCCAAAAAATAAGACATTTGACATTGACATTGTTGTCTCCCAAAGCTTAAGGTAAATGCAATTACAAAGTGAATACTTGACAAGAAGTCCCTGCAATTATATTGGCCTTCAGGATTACTATATGAAACAACCATGTCTTTCTTGGGCAGTTCACCAGGAACAGTAGTGGATAATAAAATCTACTGAAATCTATCTTAGACTCTGTTCAATACAGTAATTACACTTTGTTCCCTACTGTGGCTACACGTTAAATGCCACAGAATTAAACAGGCGTATTAACAGTAGTATGGTGCGGAAGTAATGTAGTAGCAAGCGGCGCACTATCATGCACATGTGGTCACGGGATCGATTCTCGGATCGATATCCGCCTAGGCCAACCAAGCCTTTCATTCCTGCGGAGCCGGTTGATTGATACCAGACTCGTCTAGGAGGATAAAAAACACTGAGTTGTGCATCGGCTGGTCACCGCATTTCATTGCATAAGCCCCATACGCCACTACGATTCTGGATGGAGTCGAAGGCGGTGGAACATCCCCAGACGGGATTGGTTAATACCCGAAGACTTTACCCTTTCTAGATTTTAATAGGAATATGACGAAATAAAGAGATTGCGAGAAAAAGTACGATCCTATTGATTTCCCTTCCTCGTTTTCAACTCATACTCTCACGGACCAAATGTCCACCAGTTAGGTCTACATTCGGTAGCTTTGGTTAGCCCTACTATCGACAAAGGGCATTCTCGTCCCTAGGAGATGGTACCGCATTTCCAAACAAGTGGAGACGATGAGAGAATTCTATAGAAAACCGATTCGTGGTCGTTTAGCAAGGTTCCAAAAGAGGTTCTGGTACGAGAGGTTATCTATTCCTAGCCCTTTTTTGTTTTCATGAACACGCGTTCAAATAGTCTACTATAGCAGGCGTAGGACGTATTAGTTCTAATGCAGTATCAGAACAGTTCTAATATTTACGGTTGTTTTGTTACTTGTTTACTATCAGTCGTCGAGTATGACCTCTTCTTTGATGGTGCATGCCAGAGGCAGACCCAAGGGCAACACTTAATGTGCATAATTATCCCAACAGCATAGCCTCTGTGGATAGCATCTGCTCAGAGATACTTTGCTATGTACGAGAGAGTGCTTATCGAATAGCTTAAGACCCATACATGTCAATTGTGAATTGAACAACTGTAGAACATTGATGAAATATAGTTTTCTACTCCACCACAACGTCATGCGATTGCTGAACACCGGATGACGTGAAATAACATGTAACGGCTGTAAAAAAAACAGATTACGGTAGGACTTTTATACCTCTCGAAAGTTCTGCTAAAAACGGCATAATAGACTAGTCCAGTTGCCGTAGAAGAATACTTCAAGAAAAAACATAAGAAAAGTATTGCACTGTAGTTCCCCACTCCCCTAACATACTGTATGGATTAAAATGGCATCGACTGCGGTGAGTATCTCAGAAAAGAACTTGGTGACACTGCCATTCATCAGCCTACTGTATTTAAAGTTAATAAGTATAAGGCAGAAGTGGGATAGTTCCAGCGGACTCAGCTACGACATGGCCATCCAAACGAATCACGGACTGGTGACCGCCTGGGCCAACCAAGCCCTCCTTTCTCCGTGGTAGGCTATTTCGGACCGGACTCAATTGGGGCTAAATTGACGGGTTTATCGGTCTACTTCTGCTTGTCGTAGTAAAATTACTACATCGATTTGTAGGACGAAAGGAGGACGGGGTTGATTAAGCCTGGAAACTTTGTCCTACCCTTGTCTTTTTATCATATACATACATAGATATAGCGGTATCCCGAAAGTGACCAGTGCATCGAAGGATAAAGTAGCCGTCAGGTGAGTAACGAGTCACTAGGCGAGAAACATTTACTGCTAGGCTTGTGATGGTCGACTTTCTCTCAATATTGGCATCACCTTTGACCGGTATGTAGGTTTGGTTCAGCTTCTCAAGATTTTTAAACTTCATAGGGCTACATTTCGGCAATTTCGCCTTCGTCAGAGCCCGAATGTCGAGAAACCATTTGAAATTGATTCTCTTATAAGACAAAACGAACCTTTAGAATTGCCGTAAGTTTGCCTTGCCTTATACGAGATCAGTCTCAAATAGTTTTTCGATTTTCAGGCAATGGGGAACTTGCCGAAACGTTGCTCTATAAAGTTTAAAAATATTGGACAGGCTGAAGCTAGCATACATACAGTTGAAGATCTACTCCATAGTTCAGCGTATGAAATGGACGATGTTTTGAAACAATTTTCCAGCATTATACTTCCTTCCCGTTCCAACCAATAGCACTTCTAGCTTTGCTCATTTACACTTTTGTTTCTTCCCCACGAACGTTTAAAAACAAGAATTCCGGGTATTGTCTTTTGCGCTCGAACGTTCGAGGCACCCTATCATACTGTAAAGGGAAGGATTTGAATCCCACGGAAGATTACGGTAACTTCCGGCAAGCTACTGTCAGTTATCGTGGGAATTCATCTGCAAGAGCTGCCACTCTAAAACCATTTATGCTAAAACAGTGAAAGGGCTGAGTCTGACCTCATGGAAAAGCTGTACTCAGTAGCGGGAGCAAATTGCAGTCGTTCCTGTCGTCTGTGGCAGTTCACTATCAATGTGCTAGGTACGCACCTGGGTTCTGAATTCCACAGCATCGACTGGGTTTTAAAAGTAGCTCAATTGACTACCACAGTGAATGCAATATACGAACAGTATTAAGAACAAAACTTACATGAACACATTCAACGAAAATTAACGGTTTATAATTACCCGTAGTACGAAGCATAGAACATCAAAGCATGACTAATTTATAATATACCGAAAATTCAGAAATCTAAATGAGTTGGAAAGTAAGTAAAGCCATAACCCGGTGAGTGGAGCAAAAATATGCTTTAGAATATTATACACAATAGAAATAACTACACACTCATCACATCACTGAAGAAGAAAGAGGTATTTTAAAGTGTCATTAATAGTAAAAAAGGACAACCGGGAAGAGATTTTAGCACGGGCAAGCAATCAAAGCCGTACGTTGTAAAAGAAGAAAAAAGGACTGACGCCTGGATCATCCCAGACCAAATAACCCGTTCAATTAAACTGTGAGGCGGAGAGGAAAAGCTGTACGATCAAACAGCCAACAAAGGGAAAAAGTCAAGAAGTATAACGGTCTGAAATCCTACCTTCCATAGTGTATATAAGGTAATGATCTAACCACTGCTAGGATATTTCGGGAACAAGATGAAAATAAGGCATGCACACTTCAGGGTAGATATGCTTGAGAGAGATGAAATTTGGTGTAAAACACCTGGAACCTGCTCATAATCCTTCTTTTCGAAAACCGGCAGAACCGATGTGAACTGAGGACTGCATTAATTCTTGTAGTTCAGGTATTACATGAGCAGTCTTATTCAATGGGAACGTATTTGCAAGGCACAACGCGTGATCACGTATGTCTCCCCATCCGCCATTTTCCTTCGAAGGCTTTGGAGACCGTAAGGATACCTGCAACACATACGTCTAAGAGGTAATCATTATACAGGGTACTTTCCACTTCTCTTTTCGTATAAGTCACCTCATTTCAATCGAAATAAGATGGATCTCTTGCAACTATCAATAGAAATGGAAACTGATGCAATTTTTCTAACAAAGCTCGATCTTCATGGATATATTTCACAATAAAAACATATTTGTAGACCTATCGGTTGGCGTTCTTGAGCTCAGCTAGTCAATAAGTTATTATAATAATTTAGATCCTAAATTATTTAGGATTAAATGCATATGTGGATTGAATGGTGCCCTGCGGGAGAGGAAAAAGCGGGAGAGGTAACCGACATACATATACAGTAGCGAATTTTATCATTCCCTATCAATTGAAGCCTTAAAAGTGTACTTGGAACCGCACCACGGTACTACCTTTTCCACATTAAATAATTGTGAATAGGATATTTCCGCCANAGCCTAGAAATTATTTCAAACCGCGGTTTCCTGTAATTGGAGTGGTGAATTGAGAAGAAATGTTCAAAAAGCGAAAAGCAAAAAAGTGAAGAAAAGACTTACATCGGTAACTGTGAGCTGCGCTGGGAAGAAGGACTTCGCATGCTTCGCCAGCAGCGCACGAGTTGACGTGTACGTATCGTGGGCATTACATCTTGAATCAATGAGGGTGGAGCGGAACAATAAAAACAAAATAATTCAAGCACAAAATTCTGATCGTCGGTGCTACCTGTGTGTGTGAAGGCCACAGTCGCCAATGTGAATGACCCTCGGACTTTTCGTAAATATCACCCGAAAACGTTGCGGTAGACATCGAACAACAACCTAAGTAAATAACTAAATATTTTCGAAGAACATATAACACGATCAACTTTGAGTTCTACCTGCATCAGCGACCAGTCCCAGTTATAGTCGTCATATTTACAGAACAGCTGAAAAAGAAGCCTTGTAGAAAAGCACAAGCATCATAATCACGAAGCTCATGGAAAAGAAGCGAATGAAAAAAAGAGGTCCCACAAAAATAGCTATCGAAGATGAGAAAACTTCTAATAATCCAACAGAGGAATTGGAGAATGTTGGCAATAACAGTTCTAGACCTCCCAACATTGCACCATAAGAAACTTAAGTGAGCAAGGAGAGGAGCGGCCGCCGAAACATGGCAAACAACATTGGGGAGCAGGGTGTGAGAGAAAAACAGTAAATTCTGAACTGATAGGTCAAGAAAATATCATACACTTTACTTACTTCAGCACATTTTTTTACTTTCATCCAGGTTTCCCGTCGAAACGCCATGCCCATGTTGTGCTTGGAGCTGTACCAAGGATGCGCTCCAAGCTTTGCAATATTTGTCCCGTATGAAGAGAAGGATTTGAGGTAGAATCCCAGTGAGATAATTTCACACTTTTCGCAATATCTGAATTATAAATGCCTCAAATTCAGTCTTCAAAAGTATAAACAACTGGAGAATAAGGTACTAATTGTATAACGTTCTAAGCTAATAACGGTAAAACGTACGATTCCCTATTCTGTATAATGTTGTGCAGAACGTGCAGGGCATCTGGAACTACATAGTGATCTTCTTCAAGCAAAAGCACCCATGCATCAGAAAGACCGTACCGATCGAAAACTCCATCGAATACGTAGTTCATCTGAACACAACGCATAAAGGTAATAGAATGGAACGCATAAATGTTATAAAATGGAATGGTTAAGTATGAATGACGAAGGTTTGATTCCATGTAGGTAGAAGGCCTTTTTTCCGTATATATAGAATTAATACGGCATCGAACGCACCTACGTTCTGTATTACCCACTTCATGACTCTCATGAGACCCCTAGAGATTTCAGCAATTTCTTTTCAGTATAATGACTAGATGATGGTGGTTCAAACAAAATGCAAATTCTGGAGCGATGAAGGAAAGGATATTTCTCGAGAACAAGACCGATAATTACACTTGAACTACGCCAAGACCAGCGTTGCATGAAACAACTCCCAACCTATGCTGTAACTTGAGCAGCACAGATGTAAAAAAGATGAAAAAAATCAGTGCTTACCTTCCACCACCAATGATGTTTGACTTGGGTAATCTTTGCCACTCTATAGTTGCCATATTTGTCCGGATATTGAGCATTTTTGCACTTGGCGGATACCGCTCTGAGAATCTCGTAGAAAGTAAGGCAACACCAAATACGGACCATAGTGGCGAAACTCACGAATTCTTTCCCATTTTCTCAGCACAATCCTTGGGATCTTGTCCAGGAAAAACATGGGGGAAAATTTGCATATTATAGGGATAATAAATCTGTAGGACCTGAAAACAGACAAGCATCAGATCATGTTCAAAATACATAGGCATAGGAATACTCAAGAAAGGGGACATTACACCAGGGATAATTTTGAAAAAAAAAACACTTGAAGAAGAAAAGGATCCCGGATAACTTTTAGGACCTATTTCCGCTGGGCTATGTTAACTTTATTCTAAATATCTCAACAACTAGAAAGAAAATAGGCATCAAAAGGGAACTTCCATAAGCGTCACTCATCAGATGATGAAGATTATGAAATCTGATGAAAAAAAAAACAGAAAGAAACAGAGAAGAAATATACCAGAGCACCCAATAGTCTAAAATAAAATACAAAAGAGAAAAAGAACTGCTCCAAAGACTTACCCGGGCAAAAGTGATGTTTCTTATCATTTCATTCACTGGTGCCACATTAATATCATGGCTAAATATTAACAAAGCTTCGTCAATGCCTTTAGTGTGGCGCAGAGAATCGATGAGGTAAGCAAGGTAGTTTGGACGGTTATGAACCTAAAATATTGTAGCATGGGCTCGTCTATTGATAATTCTACAGTTTGAATTGAGAGGTATCCGAAAAAGTCTATGTCTATGGTTACTGACTTGTGCTAATGTAGAGAGAACAATTGGTAAAAAAANAAAAAAATATAGAAATTTATGGAATACCTGCACAACAATGACAATTTTTACGTCCTCAATAGGTCCGAATTTTGCGAGATTCAAAAACTCGAAGTTTTCGTTCAGGAAATCCACTGATCGTACAATCTCTTCCCCAGAAATTGTCATATTACCATTCGCACCTGAAATTTTTAACGACATTACTTAGTAACTAAGAAGATTTACACAAACTGAGTAGGTCCTCGACACCTAAAGACTCGCTGCAATTACAACAGTTGTCTCACTGTCAAATTTCAGGCAATCCAGTTCAAAGTGACTCATGTACGGGACCATGTTCAAAAACCAAATACCGACCGAATTAAAAAATCTCAAGTTTGTGAAGGAAAGGGGTACAAGTTAAGAAAGTCAGTTGAGAGCAATGTACTAGGTATCACAATCCTAAACTGTTGCTCTGCATGTTGCACACTTCATGTGTGTTTCAAAAAATTTGAGTCCCTAAGGTGGTGCGAAAAAGACAAGTATATGCTTAATTTTATGAGTCAAAGGACAGGGAAATGATTTTTTGTGTGTGTTTCTTCACGAAGTGTCAGAACTTCGAAACATTGAAAAGAAAAACATTGTGGTATGACGAACAACTTGGAGAACGAACCGCTTTAATGTTCGGATACGTTGCCTGGTAACTCGTACTGGGTGAGCACGACGTAAACCCTGCACTCACTCTTGACCCCCACTACGTTGTTTACGTCCTCTAGTCCAAGTGAAAAAAAAGGTATTTTTGCTCTGAAGACCAAATTAATTGTATGCGAAGGTCCCTAAAAGCATAGACTCCAGGGAGGAACCGTATACCGGCCTTACTCTCAAGAAACCGGCAGGTTCCGGGAAAAGGATTGTGGTTTTTCTGAAGTAGGACACTGCGTACTTCTCTTAACATTATGGTAAAAGGAATTTCGAAATGAAAAATCCAAGACATCATTTGAAAACAAAATAAACCAATCACAGAAACAGGTTTACTATGACTTATCAAGTGTCAGGCTCTTAGGGACCAGGTTCTGAGACAGTGATTGACAGGGTTCTGAGACAGAGGTTGTCAGGGTGATTCAGCCAACCACTCTCCCAAAAAGGCTCTGTAAAGCCAAATCATGAAGCGAGGACAGGCTACGTGGAAAAAAGACCGATCGATCGATGCGTTGATGTCATATGAAGCAAAAGATATTTGCAATTCAATCGTAATGCCCCGCGACATAGTGGACAAATCTTCAGCTATCGAATCTCCCATGAGCCCAATGCCAAGTTCCCTGTAACCTAAGACTCAGATCCAGTTCATTTTTCGATGATGCCTACAAGGTTGACAAATATTATGCATGATTAGTCTTTTTCTACATATTCCTCAACCATTTGGCTTCATTTCTCGCCTTAGCTTGGAAACAGCTCAACTCCGAGCGCGCAGTAACGCCATATGTTTTGGCAGGTAGTCTGACAAGATATATTGAACGAGGTGTGGGAAGTGTCAAATCTTCGGAATTCGTTTACAACGTAAAGCATGGCACAGCAGTGCGACTGAACTTGGTCCCGAAAATATGTTTAGAAGGTCTCCATCGCATAAGATAGAACTTTAAAAAGGTAGGGTAAACAATCCTATGAATTTTCAAGCCAAATCAAAAAGTATTAGTAAATAGCAAAGCAAAAATAACAAATCCAGCACCAAGAGGAATTCAACCCAACTTTAGTGTTCTAGGTCTAAAAACTGATATCTTCTTTGCAGCACCGCGGTTTCTGTTATTATATATTGGAGAGGTAGGAGAAACCCATACTACGATAAACCTTTGAGTGTGAAGATTGTATGGACCCATGAATTAAGAACATTTTGCCCGTACTAGACAAAAAAGAGTAAAAATTCTCTTAGACTTCAGAAACTCGAGAATAAAGAGACCTAAGGGGCAATTGGGATAGTTTCTCATTCTCATTGAATACCAGAGCTTTTCCAATTGAAACGACAAAAAAATTTCTTACTTAAGCAAACGAAATGAATTAAAGTTAAAATTGTTGTTGAACTCACTTTGAAACGGCCATACGGACATATCCTGTTCAGTTCCATAGTCAGCCACAGAGTCGTTAACTAAGTCAGTTTCTAATTCTTTTGTTGCCCGAATAACAATATCAGGAAGTGCAGGAAACGATGGGGTTTCCGATAAAATACTATCCGTCGACGGCCCTTTCATGATAACGACGAATAGCCCGAACTGGAAATTGATCGGCAATTATGGCTCGTTTGTTTTTTCGATACGTAGCAGACGTATTAAATCGTAAAAACGCCATAAACTTACTAAACATATTGATATGATGATATTTAAAATTCTATGGCCACGACGATGAAGCATCTCCCGTCAGCCGTGTTAATAGAGTCGTTGNCCGTCGACGGCCCTTTCATGATAACGACGAATAGCCCGAACTGGAAATTGATCGGCAATTATGGCTCGTTTGTTTTTTCGATACGTACGGGACGATAATAGTAAGCAGACATATTAAATCGTAAAGACGCCATAAACTTACTAAACATATTGATATGATGATATTTAAAATTCTATGGCCACGACGATGAAGCATCTCCCGTCAGCCGTGTTAATAGAGTCGTTGGTTCGGGCTCCCACTTGAACTCTGATGTTAGGGATGCCAATTGGGGCCGTCGTTCTGAAAGATCAACAAATCTTGGTGAGTACAAGTAATCCTAATAAATAACCCAAGGTCTGGTGTTATCGATTAAAAGTTAATGAATGAAGACGGCGAGAAGCATGTGTGAAGTGCCGCGCGCGACGTCGCGAGACCTCGGGCGCGGCATCAGTAATCACTCTACCAACGTCATATAACTGGAACGTCCATGAAGTTCTGTGGGGAAAAAGCTTCAGAGTGCATACTTCTAGTGATTTCCATGTAGCGAACATTGCTAAGAACACCATATGTTCTCTCAACCTCAAATTTCAGCTCCGAATAGGAAGTGATCAGAGAAAGAGCTGAAGAGAGAGCTAGAGACTTCTGCTAATGCCTATGAGGTAAGGAGCAGAACTGAGTCGGAAATCCTGAAATCTCAGAGATTCGGGTCCTTTCCCACCAGGATTAGGATCCTTGATTCCGACTAGTTCTTCTATTAAATGACCACTTGGTAAATCTGTCAGTCCCACTTCAGAGAACCTTCCTCCCCCTGAACCGTAATTTGAAACCGTAGAGGCAGTAATGAAGGGATGGCTAGTCCTTTAGATGCATCTGAACCATTTGAAGATTGCTCTCTTTGCGAATTGATCATCTTGTTCTCCCATAAATCTACTAATTGGCGAGGGAAACCCGCTAGGAGGGCGCGAGGGTGGCGTTGTATCTGTCCTACGTAAAAGGAAATCCCCGATTCAATTAAACGTTAGATTTCAGCCAATAGTTAACAAGGAAATCGAGAGAGAAACATTTCGCGTACATCAATTCCACCAGAGTATTACTTCACATCTGTTTAGAATTACAACAGCGGCATCAAGTCTTTACAATGGTCCGCGGAGGATGGTGAATGTTTTTATCCTCCCAGACAACTTCGATACTAGTTGGCTGACCTTCAGGAGGTGAAAAAACCGATCGACTTCGTGGTCTATGATCCCGGACTCGATCCTCCCACCACGCGCATAGTCGCGGCGCCACTTGGCACTACTCCACTGCATTCCGTTTGATGGAATAGAACACCCTGATTGAATCCACATTCCGAGCTGGTGGCCGTTCCGTTTCTTCGCTACAACAATTGTCAGGAAGTCCCAGAACAGCGGTGTCTGTAGTAAGGAAGCCGACCTCCTGCCGACTCTATGGGTAACTCGTTGGAAATGTCACATTATTGAGAATTATTAAGTATAGAATATACATTATACCCCACAATTCACACAATTGCAGAAAACCGCAGGTATAAGCCATGCTCTCTTTATTCAGCTTCAAATTTTCTAGTTCGGCGGGCTAGAAGAGCACTTCCAAAGTCTTCCTTTCACGATGCCACGAAGCCAGAAGGAATCGATCGTTCGAAGGAAGGCTATTTTTGTAATTTGATTTGTATGGCCGACTGTTAATGGAATATTATTATGTACACTATACTAGTCATGGTCAACGGAGTCCGGTGTCCGATTGCCATGATACTGGCCCATGCCAAGCAAGCTTTCCATCCCGCGGAGTCGTTATTTGGCACCGGGCTCGTCTGGGAGTATAAAAGCACTGACTTGAATATCGGCCGGTCACCGAAGTCATTGTACAGGTCCTATACGATTCAAATCGTTGCTGACATCTGAATGGTTGTTGAATTCGAGGCGCATCCCGCTGACGCCGCAGACTTCCTATTTATTACTGTGGTCGCCACTTCTTAAGTGTCTACCAGGAGTTGTAATAGGTAGAGTAGGAGGATACGGTGTTCGAATGAGTGAGCTGTGGGTTAACCTCTTCCTTGTGCCTTTTTCAGAACCCCGAAAAAAGGTTATTTGCTCGGAACCGCAGCCAATAAAGCTGGTCTACCAAAAGAAACGCTTTCCGGATAGAACAGAACAAACACATATGAACATACAGTACTCGGTAGAGAGGATGAGTAACATTAGTTAGTAATGTACATAACAAATATAAATATAAGGGAATGTTGACATTAGAACGACGGCAATTTGCTGCTGCCATGTAGAGGAATTTGTGGCGAGGTTTTCCAAATTCATGAAAAGCCATAAAAGCTCATCCTCTGTGGGATGAATGATGGACATGAGCCCATTCATTGTGACATTTGAGAAGAGGACTCATTCATATATAATGGAATAATCTGGTTATGAGTCGCCATGGTAACTTCCCTATGTTTCACTATAGTCGTTCTATAAAAGCGAATATAATCGTAATTAGTAGGTTTGCCAAGTAGAATCGCCTACATAATCACATAAGTCTCCTTGTATATACTTCGAAAATACGGTAATCTTTATCGGAGGAAAGAAGAGATATGATGGAGCCTGGGGGAGGGAAGGAGGTACCGCTGTGGGTGTTCTCTTTCTAGGAAGGTTTCGTATTTCGGGATGGAGAAGGAGGTTAAGGTCGTCTAAATTTTTTTTTGAGTTCTCCGAGAGCAAAGGTAACGTATAAAGTGGTTGCTGGAGGTCCCAGATTCCCATACGGTAAGGAGCTGTAAAACAGTACGTGATCTTTAGAGAGACTAATATGTGTGCGAGGGGTGGAATGGGGGGAGGGGTGTGTGGGCGATGGAGGCTGTGAAATGGAGCAAGATCGAAAAGAAGCGATATAGTGAGCCCGTTATAGCTGATGTTGTTTATGTAGGAAACCGTAATCATAAAATGCGAAAGCCATAAACATTTAATGTAAACAATGGTTGATAGGTGGAACCATCGGTACGGGTAGTAACCAAGTTATCTAACAATCAGAGGCGAGAAGCCTTGGTAGACCTGAGCTACTACGCGATAGGGGAGCTTCAACCCACTACACCCTTGTCACCAACGCTTTGTTAAAGAATAAGGTACTATATGAAAACTGGAGGGGTTGTAGCTGATGAATTCCGTGGAGTATACGCCATGCATCCAGCTTTCGTTCATTACATGCCGCTATATCTACGAGGGCGGAAACTTTGGTCTTCAGCTTTTTTCTGATGGCAGTGAAGCAACCTTCACAAAAAATGTTCTTTGTTTGCCTGAGCAGCACCAGCTCAACGAGCGTGTGATACTGTACCAGTCACTACTGTGCTGACGCTCGCTGTGGATATACATGAAAAATATTGAACAGCATCGAAATTGAGATTTACCAGATTGATCTGTTTAAATTCGCGATGGTATTGGTTGGTACTTATAGCAAAAAATTGGGGCGTGGAAAAGGGATTGGAAATTACTTTTACTACCTCTGACTAGCCTTTCATCAGTTAATTTGCCTCTGAAAAGTTGGGGATTAGATTGAAAGATTGACAGTGGATGTCATCTTAAGGGGTAACGGAACTTCTCCCCGATTGCGGCATTCTCTCTTGCGGCATGCGGCAAATGTCACTGTAACTACCATCTCCCCCCGCCTCCCCGCCAATCGATAGGACGCGGAATTTTTCGTTAATTGCCCTTCTTTTTTATTAGATTTGATCGTTTTTTTAAATTTGCTTTTCATTTTTATATTTATCACGTTTTTTCTATTTCTTTTTCATTTTTATGTCTATTAGACTTGATTAATTAGAATGACTGTCGTATGTAAGCGACGATCAAGACTGCATTGAAATTGAAGAGAGAGGTCAGCCAATCCAAATAATTAAAGGNGCTCCAATCTGCCATCGCAATCCTGCGATACGCGGCGGGTGCGGCGTGCGCGACGCCGTCTCCAGGGAGAAGCTCCCTGACCACATCTTAAGGTTGGTAAATTCTAAGGACGCCCAGAGCATCAGATTTTGGCATAGTAATGCATGTTCTAATAGAGTGACGGATACGCTTTCTTAATGTTAATTAACATAAGCAAATAATGAGTAATAATAGTACGAAAGATTGAGTGATCCGCAGTAGTTCATATGTGTTGAAGACGGTACTAACTGGTAAGATACCTATTCACCAAGATAAAAAATTTGAGCATCGACCAGCTTGTAACGTTTACTCCTACATCCGAAAGGAAGTCAGTTACCAGTTGGAGCGATGACACGAGGTTGACAGTAGAAATCTTCTGAGGCCTGGTAAAATCCGATGCTATAGGTCCGGAACGCCTCATGTCGTCCCTCAATCAAGAACGATCCACTGGACCGCTCTGGCTCGGGACAGGTACGACTGGAGACGCTCTTGCGCCTGCTCGAGGAAATCGATAATCAACGGGACGATAGGTGATACAGGTGATATTGCAAAACCGTTCGAGTAATTAAAAGTTAATATGGAGTCTAGATGGTGCGAATAGACCTAGTTAAAAGCAGGAATCAACTGGTGGCATTGACAGAGAGTATTGGCATTGACTGTTGCTTCACGTTAGACTCTTTCCTCATAACAATGATAACAACTGACATATGAGCAAACAAAAGTACTATGGATGAATAGGCAAATATGTTGGCGAAGAGAACGTCCAAAAAGACAAGGTCGAAAACAAAAACGAACGCCTCGCTTGGCGGTTCAGTAGATGCGATCAAGCACAACGCGTACGATAACGATCTTTTGCTGTCATCGTACGGTTTCAAATGTGACTCAATGATTCGTACACACAAACGTATCTGTAGTACACGTAGGGGTAGGGGTAGGAAGGGGGTGGCACGGTGACCTTATAGTGCGTACGAGCAGACATTTCCCATCATGACGTCTGGCGTTTTATTGAAATGAGGAGGATAAACTGGAACGGCTGTTGAACGTTACATAATCCATCCCTAAGTGCCATAAAAAAGGGGGCCAACAAAAACAAAGGGTCGTTTAGGTAAGCCCACTGCAATATGATGGAATGGTTCCGTTTCTTGATGTTCTATAGCTAATCTATGAGATTCTAGACAGTTCCGTGGCATTCCGTCTTGTCGCTTCTTTGAAGCACTGTCCTTGATTTTTATTATAACTATTATTAGAATTATCGTGTGCCCGGAAGCTACGTGTACGTGTTCTGTAGGTGCTTCCTCGACGGGTTTCGCTTTTTTACTTGCCGGAGATGGAGTAGCGATCTGTCTGGTGCTCGTCATGCATTCAAGTTCCGCTTTGAAGCGCTGAAGAGTTTGAGAGAACATTTGGTCTATACAGGGTCTCGTTGAGGGCTTTACAACTAATCATTGGCATGAATTCGAGTGGCCAAAAAAACACTATCGCGAACCATTCTACTCTCATACGACACTAAAAGGCACGAATACTAGCACCATTAGACACTACGGCCACGTCAGTGATGGTGCAGAGTAATAGGAACGAATAATTAATTCCCATAGAAACTGTTATTCTACTCTCTTACTCTTGGAAACAAACTAGGTCGACACAGAGACGAAAACTCAGTACGGCCCTGGGTGTTGGGCAAG